GGTTAGGGTAATGTTGTGAATTGAGTGGCCCATGGTGGTGGTGGGGTTATGGTATGGGCAGGCGTATGTTATGGACGATGAAAACAGGCCACTCGATTCACAACATAACCCTAACCCTAATCCTAACCCTCACACCAGATACTGACTGGTTTTCGGACCCCCCCAGACCCCCCCAATAAAGCAAAACTGCACGTTTCAGAGTGGCCTTTTATTGTGGCCAGCCTAAGGCACACCTGTGCAATAATCATGCTGTCTAATCAGCATCTTGATATGCCACACCTGTGAGGTGGGATGGATTATCTCGGCAAAGGAGAAGTGCTCATTATCACAGATTTTTTCAGATTTGTGAACAATATTTGAGAGAAATGGTTATTTTGTGTAAATAGAAAATGTTTTAGATCTTTGAGTTCATCGCATGAAAAATGGGAGCAAAAACAAAAGTGTTGCGTTTATATTTTTGTTCAGGTTAGTTACAACTCTACATATGTCAGTTTTTATTTTATAATATGTTTTGTTGTAGAATCTCCCTGAAAACAAGGGTTGTGTGCAAATAAACTAGCTTTATTGTCAGGTCTGGCCATCCTTCCAATTTTTAAGAGTTTACTATGTAATCAAGTGATTGCAGTAAAAACATTATATAAAAGCAAGTGGTAGTGATTTAACAATGGATCCCTCTTCATATTTCATATTTAGAAACATTGCTTACAGAACTTTACATAGACTTCTTGAGTAATCTGGAATCTCTCAATAATCAAGGAGCAGGGCAAACTATAAGTTCGATGTTAGAAAGCTTACGAAACGCACATTATCATAAACAAACCTCCAGTGGATCAATCTGGCTCTCTACTTGTTGGATGCTGTCTTTAGAGGCCATCAGCTGAGCCTCTTTGGTATCCACAGTCTCTTTAATCTGCTGGGCTTTCTCCTTGTTCTGCTTCAGGTAGCGCAGCTCCACCTGACACTCCTTCACTGTGTGACTCTGTTTGAGACGCAACTGACGCATCGTTTCCAGAGCTTTGATGTACCTATGGAAAAAAAAAGAGGCAATATGTGAATGGCATGTGCAAGTTCATATATGTTCCTTGGGATTATTTTTAGCAAATGTGATTCTTCATGTAAAAAAAAACAACACATGAAAACGTAAGAATTAGGTATTTACTTGGTTGCAGCGAAGATGGAGTCAAACTTGTCTTTGAGTGCTTTGCCCTCACAAAGTGGCCAGTTGGACTCTTCTTGGTGACAAAAGATGACATTATTCAGCACAGCCTTCGACACTCCCAGTGAAGAAATCATCTCCCGATCCAGTTCGCCACACTTTGATGACAAGCTCACCTTCTCACCGTCTCTGGATGAACGGGGATGGAGGTCACATGTTGAGTGTGAGGTCGTGTTAAGAGACACAATGTCAATGGGAGACACAATTAAAGAGTAAAGAAACCACTTCATTGTGTCTTACTTTATTCGGGTAATGACTTGCTCCAAGCTTTTGAAGGAGTAGTTCTTCGCCTTCTGAGTGCAGGACATGGAGCGATGGATAGTCACTTTCTCTCCGTTGACGTCTGAGAACAACAGTCGGATCTGTGCTCGCACGTCTGTCTCATGGGCGTCCTGGAATTCAAAAAGCATGAACTGTGATGTTGATAGCTTTTCATTGAAGTGACTACTCTGAACCTTAAGCGAGTCAAATGACGGTGTAAAACCTGTTTTTGAAGTTACATGGTTATAGTTATTGGTATATTTCTGCATGTTGAAACGAATTAAATGATAAAACCGATCTAAAAAAATCTGTTTTCACTCCATTTAACAAATAGCTTGTTATATTTTAATAAGAAAATGAATTGAGGTAGAAATTGAACTCTTATCGAACATGTAAATATTGAATAAGGCAAGGGTGAAAATATAAGGTCTGAAAGTCTCATAATGTAATAAAATCCGTGTATCTACCGTCCAATTGTTTTTCTTAATTAAACAAGAAAACGAAAGAGTGTCTGAGAGGCGTTTTTGCTTTTTACCTTACTAAAAGGTCTAATGGTCATTGGAGCGAGGTGAAACTCACGGAAGTGATTTCAAAACAAAAGCACTTGTGTGCTTGGAACGGTGAAAATATTATAAACAAGGGGAAACAAGGTGAATTTAGCGATCACAACGAAAACGGCCAAGACATATATTGAGCCCAGAAAATGAATGTTATTAAGGGCTGTAAATATAATAAGCCTGTGTCTAAAATGGACAACATTGTTAGGAGATTTAAACTACAGCGATTCTGCACTGCGGTCAACTCAGCCGTCTCTCGAGTTTGTTTTTTCAATTCAGCTGCTGAAGTACTTTTACGGTGTACTTTGTGAATAATCCTCTGTCAGAGTCCCCTCCATATAATGCATGTTTTCTGCTATCTTTGATAAGTGATAAAAAGACAATTTTACCAATGGTATTGATACTGTTTGACTCAGTAGTCTTACACCTACTACCACAATACAATGAAGTACTTCTAGTGTGTTGTTTAAAAAAAAAATCCTCCGTCAATATCCCCTCCTGAGAACAAAATCAAGCCACTTCTGTTAAGTTTGATGAGGGAAAAAATGATTTTTGCCATTAGTTCTTCGTATGTTTGACACTGTTGGACTCAGTACTAGTGAAACTACTCCCACAAGTACTAGGAAGTACTTTTACTATGTACTTTTCCAGTAATCCTCTGTCAATGTCCCCTCCTGAGAACAAGAATGCATGTTTTTCTGCTATTTTTAATAAGCATTAAAAAAAAACTTTCTTCCTGAAACTGACATTATTGGACAGAGTATTTTAAGAGGATATGGTGGACATATTATCAGCAATACTTCCAGTCAATACTCCGGCAGCAGCATTTTACACCTTGGAAAGTCTTTAGAGTCTGGCCTGGATAGCTGGTCACAAATATCCTTCAGCAAAGTGACACACTCTGTCACATGGTTGCCCTCTTATGATGCTGCTGTCTTTTAATATATAAGTATTTCTCAGCCGCTAGTTCGTACCTCGCAGATTCTTCAGTCTCATCAGCCTCATCCTTTCTTCAGTCCCAGTCAACGCCTCCAGCACACTTCCAGTGTCTGACTCCATATGATATTGTCCTGATGCTGTAAGGGTGATGCCCCATGATCACAAAATGATCCAAGTGCAGAGGACCTCATATTATGTATGTCATTAATGTTACATCACCCATTATAACAATTTGCTTTCCTTTTTCTCCTCTCTTAACTGAATAGTCCTGTCTTTAAGTATAATACAATGTAAAGTCCTTTTCCTGCACCATTTGAAGGCTTCAAAACAGGCATTTTTACTGTATGTGTTTGGAGAAATGACACAATCAATGGCCCAGAATTGTACTTTATAAACTATGAATGTTGGTGCTTGAAGAAATACAGACTGGCTAAGCAGGCCAGGATATATGCCTTTTTTGGAGCCCTTTTTTGCAATATTTATTAAAATGTCACTAGTTATTTAAACAAACCCCTATCTGAGGATAATACAAGCAAGCATAAAACGCCCTTTATCTAGAGAGCCATTGAAGCCCATGAAGAATGTATCCTTCCACAAATCTTTTCATCTGCTTTATTAATAAAGCTGCCACGTGTTTTCAAATTCAAGTTAAGGCACTATTTGTGCAGAACATTACAAATATTCTTCATTTGCAGTATTTTATTTTAAAAGTGTTCAGAAAGACTGCATCAAATATGCTATATCTATATATATATATATATAATGTGGTGACCACTATATTCCAGAATTCAATCTAGGAACTACAGTTGGGGTTTTGTTCCCACATGAC